GGTTAGCCTGGCTTCCCAGCCCTGTCTCCTCCTGTGGGTATCCACTCAGACACAGCAGCCAGGCAAGATGATATTTTTCTAGGTAAGAAGCCAAACTGTAGACCTCAGACCTGCAGGAGGAGGGGAATGGTCAAGCAATGCTTAAGCTAAGCACTTCTGCCTCTGTCACAGAAGCTCTTATATACTGTATGTGAGTTTGTATCACAGTATATAAGTATATACAGTATCCCTATCTGTTTCTGTTAGGACACCTAAACCTATTTGAGTCTCTAGGTTTGTAAGAGAGGATGGAGATTCAGAAGTTGCATTTTCCAGCATGTAGCCCAATGAAGCCACAAGGTACATAAGTCAAGTACAAGAGTAGGAGATACCTTTATAGACCATTAACAAAAATTATATGTTTGCTTAGAATTCTGTCAATATGTTAAAGATTCAATCTATTTTTAAATTATTGCTTCTTTTGTTTTCTTTTTTAGTTCACAGTTTAAGGAAGTGTTATCTTACAAGGTATGTCAGAAGTGGAGGTGTGGTTTAGAACCTTTTTCTGGTTTATTACCGTGTTTCCCCGAAAATAAGACAGGGTCTTATATTAAATTTTGCTCCAAAAATGCATTAGGACTTATTTTCAAGGTATGTTTTATTTTTTTTCACGTACAACAATTTACATTTATTTAAATACAGTCATGTCATCTTTGCTGCACAGTGCTGCACAAGGGTGGAAGGTGGGGTTTCACTTAACTGGGGTTTATTTTTGGGGTAGGGCTTATATTATGAGCATCCTGAAAAATCATATCAGGGCTTATTTTCAGGTTAGGTCTTATTTTCGGGGAAACGGCATCAAATTGTATATTGTATTTAATATGCAATAGAAAAAACTAAAGCATTGTAATTTAAATCCCCTTTTTTTTGATTCAAGGATTTCCAAAGGCTGTTCATCCATATTCACTGGCCATTTAGGATTTAAAATGAAAATAAATAAATAAGCAAGAGAAAATGGTTTCTGATTAAATTGCTTTACTTAAAGACTGTAAATACATGAGTACCCTTTAAAGTATGGAATGCTAAAGTAGGGAGTCAAGAGACAAAAGGAACAACAGGAGTTCAAAATGGAGCAGGGCAAAGGCTAATAGAGTTTTCTCAAGAGAACAAGCTGGTCATCACAAACACTCTTTTCCAACAACACAAGAGGCGACTGACTCTACACATGGACATCACCAGATGGGCAATACCGAAATCAGATTGATTATGTTCTCTGCAGCTGAAGATGGAGAAGCTGTATACAGCCAGCAAAAGCAAGACCTGGAGCTGATTATGGCTCTGATCATCAGCTTCTTATAGCACAATTCAAACTTAAATTGAAGAAAGTAGGAAAAACCACTGGGCTACTCAGGTATAATCTAAACCAAATCCCTTATGAATACACAGTGGAAATGAAGAACAGATTTAAGGAACTAGATTTGGTGGACAGAGTGCCTGAAGAACTATGGATGAAGGCTCGTAACGTCCAGGAGGCAGCAACCAAAACCATCCCAAAGAAAAGGAAATGCAAGAAAGCAAAGTGGCTGTTCAACAAGGCCCTACAAATAACAGAGAAGGGAAACAAAATGCAAGGGAGATAGGGAAAGTTACAGAAAATTGAATACAGACTTCCAAAGAATAGCAAGGAGAGACAAGAGGGCCTTCTTAAATGAACAGTGCAAAAATATAGAGGAAAATAATAGAAAGTGGAAAACCAGAGATCTGTTCAAGAAAACTGGAGCTAATAAAGGAACATTTTTTGTAAAATTGGACATGATAAAGGACAAGAGCGGTAGGGACCTAACAGAAGCAGAAGACACCAAGAAGATGTCAAGAATACACAGAGGAATTATACCAGAAAGATCTGGATATCCTGGACAACCCAGATAGTGTGGTTGCTGACCTTGAGCCAGACATCCTGGAGAGTGAAGTCAAGTGGGCCTTAGAAAGCATGGCTATCAACAAGGCCAGTGGAGGTGATGACATTCCACTTGAACTATTTAAAATCCTAAAAGATGACACTGTTAAGGTGCTACATTCAATATCCCAGTGAGTTTGGAAAATTCAGCAGTGGCCAGAGGATTGGAAAAGATCACTCTACATCCCAATCCCAAAGAAGGGCAAAGCCAAAGAATGCTCCAACTAGTGTACAATTGCACTCATTTCACATGCTAACAGGGTTATGCTCAAAATCCTACAAGGTAAGCTTCAGCAGTATGTGGACCGAGAACTCCCAGAAGTACAAGCTGGATTTTGAAGGGGCAGAGGAACTAGAGACCAAATTGCTAACATTCACTGGATTATGGAGAAAGCCAGAGAGATCCAGAAAAACATCTGCTTCATTGACTACGCAATAGCCTTTGACTGTGTGGACCACAGCAAACTATGGCAAGTTCTTAAAGAAACAGGAGTGCCTGACCACCTTATCTATCTCCTGAGAAATCTATATGTGGGACAGGAAGCAACAGTTAGAACTGGGTATGGAACAACTGATTGGTTCAAAATTGGGAAAGGAGTACGGCAAGGCTATATATTGTCTCCCTGCTTATTTAACTTATATGCAGAATACATCATGCAAAAGGCAGGACTGGATGAATCCCAAGCCGGAATTAAGATTGCCGGAAGAAATATCAACAA